AACCCAATGTCGCCCGAAGCGGCGTTCCCTATTTTGAAAGAAGTGTTTGGGTTTTACTTGGAGCCGCTTTCAAGAAAGTCCTCAACACCTCAGGCTTCTCGACCGTTGGGTTAAATCTCTAGCTCGTCTGGGAGCTTCTGCCGATTTGTCACGGTTGGCTTGGCGTGACTACATGTTCTGTTCAGCGTCATGCACGATATGCGAAAACAAGGCCCGGCGCTCACCGCAAACTTCCCCTACTTCTTCTCTCTTGCCTGCAGTGCCTTCCCTTGCTTGCTACTGGCTTGGCATGGAGCGCTGCATGTGCCACCCGCCGAAACCAAAAAGAAGCACAGCCAGAAAGATACATTTTGCCCATTTGAAACATGTTGCTTTTTTCCACCAAAATAAAAGGAAACCACCATTTACAAGTTACAATGTTCAGGTGTATAATGTAAGGATCCCTGTTCAGTGCTCGGGTTTACCCTGGGCGCTTCAGCGTCCTACCGATCACCCAGCTCGCTAGGAGCGGCTCCAGCTGCCGGCCGCCCATGCCGGGGCCGGGGCCGGGGTTCACCATGCGGCCGTGGCGCCCAGGGAGCGACCTGGCATGGGGTGAGGATGTGTCTTACTCTTGAAGCCAGATGAATACGCATGCAGCCATGTGCCTCCACATTTCCCCCTATTGGAGAGCAATTATTAGCAGTTCGGACCCCGAAATGAGGTTTCTTTGCTGCTGGAAGTTTGAATGCTTGCATGTCCCTTGGCCTTCTCCCGTGAATGATCCGTTTCTTCCAGTGTTCGCCCACCGCACATGGGCGATTCTTTTAGATTCCCTCGTTGCATCAACCTCGAACACGGGTACCCGGGTACCCTCAACGAGCGACACCCCCCACGTGAGGAACCCCCCCCTGACTCCTGACGCGAAGCATCGAGGTATGCAAGCCCCTCGCCTCCCCCTCGCGCTGCGGACGCGTCGGCTGGGGGGCCAAGTCGAGGAGGGCAGCGGGCGCGTCACTTGTTTTGAGGAAGCTCTTTTTCAGGTTGCTTTCAGGGCAGGCCAAAGGCACAACCACCTAGCCAGTTCTTTATGTATTTTTTTTGGGCGGGGATTCTCTATTTTGAGACCTTAGTAATTCACAGAAACCTTTATAATCCTTTGCAGCACATAGGCGCCGTTTGTACCGTAGAACCCTCTATGATATATATATATATGTATATATATATATTTATATTTATGTATCTATAGACACCTTTATAACCTATGCACACCTTCGCCTATATACACACACATATAATTCAACCTTAGCTGCCTTTTGTCCGCTCGTTTTTGTTTTTTGTTTGTTTTTTTTCTCGGTGCTCAGGTGGCGGGGCAGCTGGCGCAGCTGCAGTACCAGGTCCAGCACCAACAGCTGCAGCTGGATCTGCTGCAGCGCAACTTGCTGCAGCAGCAGGTCTTCAACCGGGCGCCCTGGACTGAACCGACGCACCGAGCCCCTCGAAAGTTCGTGGCCTCTTTTTTGTTTTGTTTTCTGGATATGAGCACCGCCCAGGATATACTTCTGTTGAAGCCATGTTAGCAGATGGTTTCGAAAGGATTGTAGTAAGGCCAAAGCACACACCTTTACGGCCATCTTAGTAGAACCAAATGTCATTGGGTGTTGGGCGCTGCTCATATCATTTTGTGCCAGTTGACTTATTTGTTTCTTTAACTATTCTGGAATGTTGTCTAGTCCTAGCTGTATCTTTGGTTGGCTCTGTTGTACAGCTATGGATGCATGTTGCGCAACTGCTGTAAGGGTTTCTCTTTTTTGGAGGCACCTTCCGAGGGTAGGTTTACAGAGAAAGTCAAGGGACAACCACGATTTTAGGGATTCCCAATTTTAAGACACTGTAAATGATTGGAACACACCTGAAAGCAGTGGAATCCATGTAGAGCATGTCAAAATCAGCTCCTATCCACTTTCAGGATTGTTGGAAAGAGGGTGCTGTAAGGGCCTTAGTTTCCGGGTGTCTTTTTTTGGAGGGTATCTTTTGTGAAATTTTTAAAGGCAAGCCTAAGGGAAGCTGCTATTGAAGACACCATCTGGTTTTGATGCCCTCCCAGTGGATTCTTTCTTTGAAAGTCCCGAAGAAGAGCGCCAAAAGAGTGCAATACATTGTGGAATCTTATGAGAGTAAACTATTTGGTAGTGTTTCTTCCCCTGATATTGAAGGCACAGGTTCTCAGTTGATTGCACAGCGGTCCTTGTTCTCTTTGCCTTTTCTGGGTTTAGTCATTTCACATGGGCCAAGTTGAGCATCGATCTTTTCTTCGGTTGCATCTTGTTTTCTTGTGGATTCTTGCGCCTCAGCGAACATGGGATTTGACCACTTGCAAGGATCCATGTGTGGATTGACTGTTCCCGAATTCCCCACGCTGGGAATCCACAAGCGGCTATGTGTAGAGGAATCTCCTTTTGGCTTCGCCCCGTTTTGGCTTCTTTTAGGGGGGGGCACTATGTCTTGCGGCCTGTTTGGTTGGAGTCTTGTTCTTCCAAGAGCTTGTGCGGATGAAAGGGAGGGTTTCGGCAGAACCTCCTCTTCTCCAAGAACTGATTCTGATCTGGCAGGGTTTACGGGAATCGATCGCACACGGGGCATCCAATCACCAGCCACCGGGTGCTCCTTTTGTGCATTTCGGATACTGGAAGCTGACAGAGGTTTGGAAAACACCCTTCCTTGAAAAGCCCCTTGTCCACTTCCATTTTTGGAGCAAGGGTACTTGTTTGGTTTAGCTTTTAGCTGGAAACATAGGTGGCCTTTTAGGTCAGTTTGGTTGAACATTGATGGTGCTGGTTTTTAGTGTGTTTCTGTTCATTTGCCAGTGCCATCGATTTTTCCATAACACCCACCTTTTTTTTTTCTGCCTGACTGACAACCAGAAGGCTGGCAACTATGGCATGGCCAGTACCTATGGCTGGATGTTTTCCATTGGCTTCCCTTGAAAACCAACGGGAATCCCTTGCTCCTTCCTCCTTCCTCTCCCTGTCCACAACCAACAAAACAAAAACCAACCAACAAAAACCATTCGCTGGCTCCCTTGAACAACCAACCCCCCTCCCCCCCAAAAAAATAAAGAAAAAGAAAACAAAAACAAGAACCATTCCCTGGCCACAACCAAGAAGCACAAAAAAAGCCTCTTGAACAACCCAGGAACACCAAAAGCCACCGGAGAAAGTCGACCGCCGCGCCGCGGATTTTCTCGTCCCAGAGGCCTGGGCGCCGGACCTGGCGCCGGTGGCGCGGCACTACGCCTACCGCGGCCTGGACGAACAGCGGGATGAGTTGCAAAGGGAGTTGCGGCCTCGCCGCCGTTTTTGTTGTCTTCCTTCGTTTTTTTCCTCTTGTTTTTGGTGGGGGGGGGGAGGGGAGGGTGTGTTTTTCCTTGGGGGGGGTTCTTTGGGTGGGTGTGGGGGGGTGTTTTCTTCTTGCCTTTTTTTTTTTTGTGAGGGGGGTTCCTTGGGAAGGGGGGAGGTTCTTTGAGTTTCTTTTTTTTTGGGGGGAGGGGTTCTCTTGTCCTTTGTTTGGTTGCTTTGTTTGGTTGCTTTGTTTGGTTGCTTTTCAGAGTTGACGGTGCGGTGGGGTTGGTCTCGAATTTCCAAGTGTGGGGGGAGGGGCGAAGGCTCTTTGGGTTTCTGAATGGCGAATCACGACCCGGAAACAGGACGATTTTTGCCAGACTGGACACTGCGTGGAACAAGGCGGCAAGCATGAATAAAGGCCAGGCCGCAATAAAGGGCACCTGAGTGAGCCTCCTTGGAGGCTGTTCCTTCCAGTGACCCTTTCATGTTCTTGAGGGGGAATTCCCACAGAATATGGGTGTGGCTCAAAATGAAAAAGACCGAGGGTTACGCAGGTTTTAGTTGTTGGCTCCATTTACAGAGGCACCATTTTGGTACATGTTTTGAGCCACAGCCAAGTACCAAACAATGGGCACCCTTTTTTCCCCATGGCCACCTAAGACTGGGAGGGGTTTACTCAGAACTGCTCGAACTCCCGCGGGCGCCCAGGATACATGTGATGGCGGACACCTCGCCAGAAAATCGGACTGCGGATCTGCGGCTGACCGTCTGAGCCGGTCAGAGCGCGGGCCGTTGTGGGCTGAGACTGGGTGGCTGGCAAGTCTCTCAAGCACGGAAGGTGTTCAGGTTCAGTTGTGGAGGCTATAGAAAGACAACAACTGCCGAAGATTAAATCCTCATGCTCTTGCCAGATTCTCAGAAGCCTCAGTGTAGAGTGCTGCTGCAGATGAACCGGCGCGATGTGGCCGGCTTTGCACAGCGTGAGCGCGGACGGAGGCAGTGACTCGTGCCGGATCTCGCCAGATCTCGGGTCGCTACCTCTGTCCCTACAGCTTGCAGGCCTCGGGAGCCAGGGGTGATGTTCAATGTGAAATGGGAGGAGCTCTAGCTGGCAGGGACGTTGTTCAACCCCGGATCTTCCGAGCAACCGAATACAGGAGCCATGATTAGAATACGGTTTGGAGGGCACCTGAAGCCCAAAAATCCGGCCATGCTCATACTAGGAGTAGTAGGTGTTATGCCCCCTATATTAACAGCGTAGGCACGGCCTCGCGGTTCTTTTGCCCGTATCCTGCGCTTCCCGCAAGCGCCGCCCGTTTGGGTTTCCAGGCCTAGACCCCGAAGGGGCCCGCCTGTGGGCTTAAAAGTGCTGCTGCGGACATGCGATGGGAAATCTCATGGGGGTTTTCTGAGATGGTTTTCGCCGCCGGGCCGGATTTTGACGCGGTTCTTGCCCACAGGATCCCCTGATTTTGAGGCGATTGTGCGGGTCGCCATTTCAACCCCAACCATGGAATTTTGGGAGCCATGGTTTGCGTCAATGTCTGGGGGTGTCCAGAAATGGAGGACCTCCTTGGATCGCAGCCAAGTTGAACACGTTTTATTCCCAGGGGCCCCAACATGTCCCAACTGATTTTGGTTGAAACAATGGCTGGACCTTGGGTTCAAAGCCTTGAGGCTACAGGATCGACTATGACCTCAGCTTGCATTTGCTCACCCAGCGCAAGCCGGAGGACACGGAGCTGGCCAGGTCTCTAGCGGCTTTGTGCTGCATCTGCGTGTGTCGTTGTTTAGGGGACCCCCGAAGTTTTGCTTTCCCTGTGGGCTTTCTTTTGAAACCACCCACAAGCCGAGCATGTCATGATTCAGGGAGTGGCCCCATGGAGCCTTTCTTCTTTTGTGCAGCTCATGAGGATCCCCTCAAGAGCAAAATCATATTCCTCTTGCCGTCCCACAGGTGCTACAGTGCATGGACAAAATCGTGCACACCCTATGAATACAGGGCTAAGCCACCTACCAACTGTATGTTGGAGGAAGTGCGTTAGTGCGAAGCAATTCCTTCTGCCATCGTGGCCGGCCGGCCCTGCAGTAGGATCTCCGTTGGGCTAATTGGGCTCCTCCAAATGGTTGGTTTCCGTTTGGTTTCCCAGGGTTGTTCCCCAAGGGTTCTTCAAGAAGCTGAACTAATCTGGATGATATTGAACCAGGTTCCTTTGTTGCCAATTTTGAGATGGCCATGGGTCAAAATTAGGTACCCAAAATGGAGCCCTGCCAAATAGAACCAAGGACTAAAACCTGCGGTCCCCTGGTGGTTTAATTTGACCCATACCCAGATGTTCACGCCAATTCCAATCTAAAGCCCAACGTTTCCCTTTGAAACACCGCAGAAACGGCAAAAACCAACGGAGATCCGCCATGGGGCGCACTCGTTCGTCTGCGTTCTTGCGCAGGACTTCAAGGAGGGCCCGCAGGCGGAGTTTCGCCGGGGTTGCAACCTGGTGATGGGCGTGCCAGTCGGGCAACGCGTTCACAAGATTCTAGGGGTTGATTCCCCATTCTTTTTAACCATTGTTCTTTTCAAAAGCCAGCCGTTTTCCCTGGGATTGTGGAAGTTTTTTAGAAAATAGGATCCCTAGAAAGAATGGGGGAGGTACGCCTGGAAAGATGATCAGCTTGGCAGGCTAGCAATTTGTGGCTGCAAATGAAAGAAGGGCAAGCCGTGGGTTTTAGGTCTTGTTTCCATTTGCCAAGGTGCCATGTTTGTATATGTTTGTGAGCCACCACCCTGTGAATTGGTTGGTGTGGCAACTTATTCCCGAGACAGCATGAGAAAGTAGTTTGCATGGTCCGCGCATTCCCAGTTGCAACCTCCTGTGGTCATTACGCGACTGTTCCGTTTGGAAAGGGGCCCCAAGCGGAAAGAAGACAACTTGCAGATTGCAGGTAGATTTTCTGGAGGACCACGCGTTCTTCGCCAGATCCGATAGGCCGGGGAGTGAACCGCACCAGAAATGTTCGCTTCCGAATCTGGTTGACCAAACTCAGCGTGGATGTCTTTGGAAATGGATTCCTCACTTGAAGGGCAACGCCTCTCAGAGGCGTCTGATTACATAGACATAAATTTCAGGCACTGGGTTTGGTATTGTTGACAGATTGTTGACAGCAGCACGACGTGGGAAATTGTTGTTGTCAAATCGACAAGCTACCCTACTCTATCTGTATGCAGAGTTTCCTACCTGAATCGAGAAACAAGCGTGGTTTCGATACATTGGTATGCAACAAACGTGGGTGTCTCACAGGCATGTCTCGCCCCGCAAAACTGGATTCTGGAAAATTTCCCTGGCATCCTGTGTCGCACATATACACGGCCAGAGAGCCCAAAGGACCAGGTATTTCAGATTTGGGTGTGGCTTTTTGCGGGACCCCCCCCCCCCCCGCCCCCCCAAATGGTGGTTTCACCCTTGAAACTTACACCAAAAAGGGTAGCCTCGAAAAAAGACCAACCCATTCTGCAATAGGATTTTATGACAGTTTGGTCCGGGGAAAAGTGACACTTTGGAACGCAAAAGAAGAAACCAGGCGACCGGCTCATGCAAATGTCCGGGTTCTTGTTTAAATTTTCTTTCATTTATATTGCCTGCATCTCAAATACCCCCTCCTGAAAGTCACCATGGAAGCCACATGTATGCATTAGGATAGGTCTTTGGAATCTGCCAAGTTCTGTGAGGCTCCCTGTGGGTTTGTGTGGAATTGGCTGAGAGGGTTAGTCAGACGAAAACCCGCGGCCTTCAGGACGTCTTGCTATGGGGGGGATGATTTCGCGCTCGCCGGCAACATGCGAGCCCCGTCCGCCGTGCGAGCCCAGATACCATGAGCTTTTGGACCCTGCGGGCTCCTTCACGCTGGAGCCACGCTGGCGCCGTTAACGTCCAGGTTTGCTCCGAGCCAATGCGTTTTTGGTTTGTTTGACTCAAACCAAGAACAGGTCACCCTTAGCTGGTGGTTTGCATTGGCGGTTTGGGGATGTGGTAATTCGATGCCTGTATTTGCCACAAAGAGGGTCAACAGGCGCTTGTGTTGTGGGGACCCACTCAAAAGCAGGGCCAATCACCCGGGGTGTGTCTTTTCATTCTGTTGGTTCTTGACTGTTTTTGGGCCCTAGATAGTGCAAGTCGTGGAACAGGAACCCCGAAATTTGCCGCTTACCAGGGTTTCGTGGTCCGACGTGGCTGGTTCAACTCCATGACTCACATGGCCATTGGGCCCTGCTGACTCAGCTTCTTTCCCTCAGCGCGGGCTCGTTCAAAAGATGTGCTCAGATATGAACCGCGGTCCTTGGGAGTTCCTCTGAAATGGACAAATTACCCCCCCCCCCTCCAACTAACATAGCACCAGACGTGGGGTCCCTTGAAGGGGGTTGCCAATCTTCCAGGTACCTCCCAGAGGTGCCATGTCAGTGGAAGGGAGGGTAATGGAAACCCAAATTCCTACTGAAAGTGGAAGTTCGCCCTCTTGGGGATTGGGAGAACCGATGGAAACGGGCTCGAGGCAAATGACGCGGTGTTCCACTTTGGCGGTTCTGCGAGTCTCGTGACATATGAGGGGTGATGCAGGATGGGCAAGACGACACTCTGGAGCCAACAGTAATTGGATGAGGCAATCCATATCCATTTGAAGACAAACTGTTTTGAATGCTATAAATGCGACAGCACCCTGGAAAGCCTGCGTTTTGTGATGCCATTTCTTGGGCAACGCTTCTCAACATGGTTTGCTAGAACCCGAGTAACTGAGGTTTCATTGGGGATGGTGTCACACACTGTCACACACACCGCAGCGCGTCGCCTGCACTTGTTCTAGAATATTCTACCAGGTGTCCCTCAATTTCGCTTCTTTGGACCTGCCAAACAAAGTGGTATCTTCACTGCAATCCACCACTGAAATTGCAACCTTTAAGGAACAAAAACCAGCGATTTTCTGGGGGCCGAACAGTGAGCTCACCAGCCAGGTACATGGACATGATCCTGAACATGCGTGCGCGAGAGACCTCGGCCTGGTACGTGCCCACGGCACGTTGCATTTTCGACGTCGACACGTCCAAGATCACCTGGGAGGAGCCTTCAGCCAGGGAGCAGTCAGCCGAAGGTGGGTTTCTCGGGTGGCAAAGGGAAACCAGAAGGAAACACATCGAAAAATAGAAGAAGTTCCATTTTGAGGAAGATGCGTTATGTATAGTATTGGACGTAGGAGATGCTCTCTTTGTTCCCAAGTCAACGAGGTGAACCTCAGGGGCACGCTTGGGGAGATTTGTTTTTCTCCTTGTTGCCCGGGTCCCGAAGCTCAGGATGTGTGTCTGTGTGTGTGTTAGTGTCTTTCATTTCTTTGCTTCTGAATTTGATTTTCATTTGTTTCTTTGCTTGCTTTGCTTGCTTTGCTTGCTTTGCTTGCTTTGCTTGCTTGCTTTGCTTGCTTTGCTTGCTTTGCTTGCTTGCTTGCTTGCTTGCTTGCTTGCTTGCTTGCTTGCTTGCTTGCTTGCTTGCTTGCTTGCTTTCTTTCTTTCGTTCTTTCTTTCTTTCTTTCTTTCTTTCTGTTGTGAATTTGATGACACCAAGCTTGGCCAAGGTTCTCAGTGCCTTTGCGATGTCCATGTGTTTGACTCGGGTTGACTGCCCATCCGGGGCCCCGCTCCGCTGCAAAGTTGCTGTACGTGTTGTTCGCTAGCCGTCAGGTGACCAACTGTCGACTTGTTTTCTTCTGGCTGAGCTCAGGCAACCCTCATTTGGTGGTTTGAATTTATGGCTTGGGGATTTGAACTGCTGGTTGTTGTCGAGGGTAAATGGGAAACCAGACCATACCGCCCCTTAGCCGCCAAACCACGTCACTGAACTCGTGGGTGTGGGAAAATGCCTCCAAAAGGTCGATGGCTTGCTCTGATGTGGGTGCCTCGCCTTTCTTTGAAGCTCGGTACTCCATGTGGGTCGGTGCTTTTTCTCGGGAAACGACCCGTTTTTGTGGGACCCGGCTTTTTTTTCAAGACATACCGTGTCAAGTGATGTGCTTGTATCCTGTGGGACCCAACATGGGTTTGTTTGTTGCCTCATTCAGCTTCCCAGTTGACGTTTGGAGCCCGGTGCTTTGGAGGTGAGTCCAAATCCGAAGCACCATCCAAAACACCAAGCAAGGGGTGCTCGACTCGCAGGATGTGCCATACCTCGTGTACAAGAGGAGCGAGCAGATTGGGCATCAGGCCGAGGGATTCGTCGCCGATGGACAACCTCGGCACTTGGGAGATCTCGAGCAAGTTGCCCAGGTCCGTTCTTTTTTCACCCGGTTTGGAAGGACCACACATGGCTTGGGCTGGGAATGCAAAGACTATCGGACCCTTTCTGCCGGCACTGGGTTTGGCTCCAAACTCTTTCCAACTCGGCCAGTTTCGGAAAGGACACCAACATGGATCAATCACAGGGGTTCAGGGGTTCAGGACAGACACATTCCATTGAATGGGTCTTGTTTCCGATCCGGCTCAAACATGTTTCAGGTTTGGCGATATTTCTTCGGGCGCATTCTTTCTACAAATGGCTGTCTCACTTGTTCCACCGACCCACTTGTTTGTTTTCGTTGTCTTGTGCTGAGGGCCCGGACAGCAGCCATAGAAGATTTGAGGGGCCGATAATTTTGTCGTTTCCTTTGCTCCTTGGCCAGTTCTTTGAGCCACGCATCTCGGAGCGTGTGCCAAGTTCCAAGTTCCAAGCTCAGGCCTATCTTTGTCCAGGGCCCCCCACAAAGGGGATCCTCCGAAACTCGGAGCGCGATGAACCCGGGGCTTTCTTTGGGCCGTCAGTTTCTGGCCCCCAAAAAACGCCTTTTTCTTTGACTCCCATGCGCCGGGAGTCGCCAGGTCCGCACTTATCTCACCAACAAGCCCGAAGCCGAGTTTGCGCGCTGAAAGACCCAAGCTGTGCGGCGCGTTTCTCTTTCTGAGCGAGGAGTTCCTGTCTTGAGGGTTTTCAAGGGTTCCTTTGTTGGAGTCCCCAAACACTTCTGAAGCAAATCCTTTTGACCCGGCCGCCATGTGGGGGGCCACCTGAAAAGTAGGGAGGCTCGACGCGAGGGCCTGCCATATTTTTTTCCCCAAGGGCTCAAAGGCAACCTCCAGAGTCTGAAGGCGCAATGGGGCAACTGGGATTCATTTCTGTGTGCTGTGCAAAGTACCTGAGAGAGCCCAGTGAGATCCTGTCAGACTCGGTTTTGCGCAGGGTACCCCTGATTTTGCCAAGTGAGCTCACGATTTTTTTTGATCTGAGTTCATGACATGTGGGTTCCAGGCGCGTTTGATTGTTTTCTAGGAGTGGTCCGGTGCCTCCAGTTGCCCTTCGGTTCATTGCGAAAGTGCCTTCTTGGACAGGCTTCATCCCGTGGCAAGACCTTTAGCTCACGTCCTTCCAATCTACCTGGAAGTAGTTGAGAAGGTTTACCTACCTTATTCGCGAGCAGCGTCGTTGCCGAGGTGGGGTGTGGAGTTTGTGAACACCGGCATTTGGAACTACGTGCGATATGCTCCTTGGGCCAATTGGGGTCCGGGGTTTCGGCCAGTGGGGCTGGGTCCAGTTTCCAACTCAAGCGGGGTCCATGTGATTCCGACCTCGTAGTGAGCTGTTTCCATGGACGCATGATGGGAGCGCGCATGATAACTGTTTGGAAAAGCCGAGCTTCACTTCTCAATAGGCGCTGAGGCGTGACGGAACAGGCTCAAAGCGCAGGTATGAAGCCGCTTTCCAGGAGTCCTCGAATTTCTCTTTTTGGGGCTAACCATGAGCTTGTTCTACCCAGCTGTCCGATTCCTGTGGGGGACAGATGTGGATCCCAGATGTGGAAGTCTCGAAGGCCGCGACTTTGCGGACGACGAAGGCGGTCGGTCGAAGCTCCGATTTTTTGAGGTGATGTTGGCGGATGTGGTCATCAAGCAAGATGCCTTGCCCACTGAGTGGGCAGACCAGGCGCCACAATTTTGCGGGCACAGTTTTGACAGTCCAAAGGAACTCTTTCGGATGGTCGGTTTCATGTGGCTGTGGGTCCAAAATAGGTACCAAAATGGAACCCTGGTAAGTGGACACATGGACCAATACCTGCGGTCCCCTGGTGTTTTAAATTTTGTTCCATACCCATGTTGGTTTTAATTTCAAAAACGTCCGGAAATGGGGAGCCTATCGACACATCCCGGTTTTGACTCGCAAACTGCAAGCGGATTCAACGGCTGATTCTCAACTGTGCTGTGTGCGGATTGTGCTATGTAGGATTCACATATTTGTATGAACCCATGGGTGTTTCTCAAAATATCGGTCTCCCAAAAAGGTTGGCTTGCTTTATCCCTTTTAAATACCAAAAAGGAGTCCACCGTTTTGAGGAGCTCCCACATCTGAGCAAATATTTAGATACGTGTAGCCCCTATCTGCCCAAGAACTGTTGCCCAAGGAATTCCTTCCAAGCTCTTTTTGACGAGAACTCCTGGGTCGAGCATGTGAGCTCAATCGCCCAAAGCTGACCTTTTGAGACCTTTTGGTGTTTACTTGTTGGCTCATTTTAAGTCAAGGTTCCGAATGGTTCGCCTTTTTATGCTGGGTCCTTCGGGCATCTTTGGGCAACTGAGTGTGAAACTTGGAGAGATGTTTCGCCCCACCGCCAGGGATTCAAAGTGCACAAGTTGCATTTGTGGAGTGGTGTTTGGTAGTTGATGCGCAATAGCTGCGCAACGCCGGCGCCTGCTGTGTGGCACACACACACACACAAGTTCCGCAGGTACACAACATCCGAGGCATGATGAACGGGCCCAATTGATAGTCTCAGCCCAGATAGGCTCCCCGCGAGGGTTCTGCGAGGGTTCCGCAAGGGTTCCGCGAAGGTTCGGGTTCCGTGACGTGAGGGTTCCGCGAAGGTTCCAGGGGTGCATGTGCTGTTGGGTATACCCTAAAATGGTGGGTGGGTTTCCTTTTGGTTTTCCTTTCACACCACCAAAAAGGGGGCGACCCCGCAAATTCTGGTTTTCCTTAGGGTTTTCGGTTAAACGAACCCATGAAAAAGGGGCGCACCCTTAAAACGACACATCTAAACGACACAAACTGCCAAACTGATCGGGAATGCAAGGAACCTGCAGAGACCTCGTTCGAAAGACCGACTCGAGCGAACCAAAAATGCTCATGCGCCTCTTCCCCGGGACACTGGTGAAAGGAAACCAAAGGGAACGTCGTGGGTGTCTGTTTTGGAATGAAAGAACCGCACAGGCCGCCATCTTCTACAGCTGGTTCGAGAGCGTCGGCTTCAACCGCCCTTCGGCCCCCAAAAAAGAACCGGCAAAACGGCGACGCGGGTGGACGAGGTAATTATGCTTGGGAGCGCCCATGAATCAAGATGCGCGGTTCGTCTTTTCTGCAAGGGTCACATACTTTTCAAAGGGAAATACTGTCATGATTTGCGTCACTTCCTTTCTGTTAACCACTCCCCGAAGAGTGCGAACTGCTGGGGATGTGAATCTCAATGGAAGTGAAAGGGCTTATTTCCACATCCAGAACATGACCACCCGAGGCCACATCCCTACATCGGGTTCGGGTAGGGATCACAGGTAGATGGGGGGGAGTCACTGTTTTTCCGCGAGAACGATGGAAACTCACGCATTTCGACTGGCTCACTTGCTCACCATTTGCCGCCACTTGCCGCATCTCAGCAAAGTAATACAGTCTCCCACGGCTTTGGACAAACGTAGAGTGACCAGGCCCAAAGGTGGTTTTCTAACCCGGTTGCGGGAGTCGTAGGTTCGGCCGTTGGTCAATCGCAGTTTTGCGCTCAACTGCGCCTCAGAGTTCGGGGCTTCCGTCTAGCAGAGAGAGCTCGAATTCTTGGGGTGCCTGCCATTCAAATCAGGTATCCCTTGATTGGTGGTTTGAATTGGGCAAGGGGAACTGATTTGAAGGGTGAATGTAAGCATGCCACATTAAACCCGGTCATTTGCATAGGGACCGCAGCTCGTGCATCAAGTTGCAATCCCTTTAGGTAGCATTGCCCTTTGCATAGGTCGGAGCTCTTGGTAAACTAAGTTGAAATCTCAGAGCTTTGGGTACCCCTCAAGCTTTGCCCTTCTCGGCCGACGGAGAGAATATGTTATATGTCCAGTTAGTGAAATCGATGGAAAATCAAAATGTTCTGAAACGCAAAACTGGAGAGCCAAGAAAACTGTTACCTAAACCCTGCGGCTTTTACCCACGGGCGTCACCAAGAAGCTCACCTTCGCCGTCAGCTGAGCAGGAAAGCACCCTTTGGGCTAACCGGATGAAACTTGAAACGGATTGGATGCCAGAAACCTTCTTCCCTGTGCAACCAAGTTTGTACTATCCCACAGGTAGGCCTTTTTCTTTCAGGACACTGCGGCTCAAAGGGGTCCTTCTTCGGAAATTGTGTATATGTATGTGTCGAAATTGGATTTGGACCCCATAAATTCCGTGTGCCTTTCGGTTTCCCTGGAAACACACGGGCGCTGCAGGCTACAACGGGCAGTACCTGCCGGACTTCATCGAGCAGCCAGCCCCTGGCACGGTGAACATCTCCCGGACCATGAAGCGCGGGGGGGGGGGGGGGGCGGGGGGAAGGGGGGGGGACCGGTAACACACTTACCCGAAATGGACCTGTTGATCTTTTGGTTTCCCCTTGTTGGTCCATTTTTAGTCATGGTCCCAAAAGGGAGACCTTCGTTACTGTTCTGGCAACTGAGGTAATATGTGAGTGCAGTGTGTGGGCGTTTCCTACAAGCGGGGACCCATCTTGAAACCGGCGATCCTTTTTTTGATTGGTTTCCTTCGAAATCCAAAGGGGGAATCCTGCAAAAAACCGGCCCTTGCCAAATGGGTGGCATCCAGGGAAGAGGGCGCACCATCCTGAAACCACCTGGGAAGAGCTCTCTCAAGTCCAAACTCCAAACTGCAATCTTGATGTAGCTTTCGGTGCAACTGCGTGGTCTCAACACCCAGCAATTGGTGGTTCGGGTCTGCAGCGGTGGGCAGAATGTGTTCAACCCCATACCCCCGGTTCCTGTTGAAAGGGAAGCTGCATGTGACCGCTGGTTCAGGCCCCTAGCCATAGTGGATACATAGGCCCCGGACGGCCTCAGCAAACGGCGCGCTGCGCTCTGGTATCATAAGGTTGAGGTGAGTGAGATCCCATCAGCACTTTGAAGCCCAATCAGCAACTGCGCAGCTCTGCAGAGACCAAAAGCAAAAGGCAGGCAAAACAAGCGGTGCAAACATGTTTGAACAAAGGGTTGGGCAACAGCAACTGGCTCGGTTGGCTTGTGATGGCTGTAATGCGCAGATTATCCATTGTTCCCATTGACTAGTGTTACGGTGAGCTGTAAGGCCATTTTCTGGAGGCTCACGGCCATTCGGGGGTGGTTCAAGTCGCAAGCCAGGATTGATGTCTCTCGCGTTTGCGGTTGCACACCCAACTGTTTGGGGGCATTTTGGTATCACGATATAACAGAAAGGTATACGTGTGTCCTTCTTCGAGAGCATCCTTTTTGGGGCTTATTTTGATGGAAAACCAGCAGGAGCCAGGACATCTCCTATTTTGGGGTGTGTTTAACCGAATTGGACCCTCATTGGAGTCTGGATATGGAAGGGTTTGACTAGATACCCAGGTTCTTCGAGGCACCACAAGACGGGTACATGTTCAACCCTGGAACCAAGTGAGTCCAAACTCCACACTGGCAATTTTATAGTTTTAGTAGGTGGTTCTACCTGGTCGAAAAGAAGGATTATAGAAGGGCCGATATAAACCATCTCTCAACCACCTAAACCATCTTGGGCTTAACGGAAGGCTGTAATGTTGACCCCATATGTTCATCAACCAACCAGTTTAATAACAGGGGGGGTGCTTCTCAGGGGCCAACCCCCCGCCCCCCCATGAAAAAGCTGGTTGGTGGATGAATCTGGGGTGAGTCCCCCCTATTGATAAACCAATTGGGTTGATGAATATGGGGTCAACAGGTCAACAGTAGTAAGACCCCCCACCCCCGCTTGGAAAAAGACTCTCCACCCCATTAAAAAGAAACACTGGGTTTGCTTTTTCTATGGGCTCAGCAATCGACCCAAAGCTCGTGAGGTGGACACTCCCCACGGAGGTGCCGGAGCACCGGGTGCCGCCCAAGCCGGGGTCTTGGGTGGCTTGGGTGGCTCGGGGGGCTCGGGGGGCTCGGGGGGCTCGGGGGGCTCGGGGGGCCCGGGGGGCTCGGGGGGCTCGGGGGGCTCGGGGGGCTCGGGGGGCTCGGGGGGCTCGAGGGCCAGGCGGGTGGGTGGTCCCCGTGCCCGTTGTTTTCTCCTGCTTTCTTCGTTTCTTTTTTTTTTGGGGGGGGGCGGGGTGAAATTCTTCATTCTTTTGGGTGGGGTGGGGGTTGATATTTTTTTTTTTTTTTTGGGGGGGGTTGAAATCAAGTACTCCCCATCAGCTCCATGTTGATTTGTAGGGGGGTAGTTGCAAACGAAGGGTGCCCATTTTTTTGCCCCGCGGCTCTGGGAATGGGACAACCCAGTGGGTTGCCCTTTTTGGGGGCACCTCTCCCGTGGGAACATCTTGCTGATACTGATACTGCTTGCTCAAACTCATTGTGTGGGTGAGACGAGTCATTTGTCTGAAAATGGAGTGAGCCCCCCCCTTTGGTTGAACCATCACTTGGATCAAAGGGGTTATTCAGCAAGTGTTCATGCACACCAAGTCAATCACTCGGAACTTTTTCTGGCTAAAGGGGAAGCCAGGCCCCGACCTTGCCGAAGCCAAGCTTCCCCGGTCGCAGGGCGGTTCCTCGTTTGTTTTGGTTTCCTTCGCCGGACGGCGACAGGAGCGCCATGGAGATTCTGCCGAAGATGCAGCGAAAGAAGGCGGGTTGAAGGAGAGAGCTGCCTTGGGCCCCCATGGTTTCCCGTCTCTTTTTTTTGGGGGGGAGGTGGTGGACACTCTTCCTTTAGGGCAGTTTTTTTTTGAGGGGGGGGTTGCTGGCGGCAAAATCGACTAGGTGTCCACTGGGTCATCAAAATCAGAAAGAGTGCTTTCCTAGGGGAGGGTGTTGCCCGGGGTTTTGAAGCGGATGTGCAAAAACTGCAGACCCCCCCATCCGCAATTTGGTTCATTTCGAAGGGAAAGACCGTGACCCGACTTTAAGGACGGACCCGTCGCTCCTTGGAATCGACGCATCCCCCTTCTGAAGGCGAAATGAGATCCAGCAATCCAAACCGGGAAGCCACTTGCAAACAATGGAACTGGGTCAACGTTTGGTGCCTGGCTTACATGGGTGTGTCTTTTTTCGCCCCCGAAAAAGGCAGCGGTTCTTTCAGTTTCCCTTGAGAACTACCTACAAAAAGGTACCCTTAAAAAACGACCCACCCACATCTTTGCTAAAGACATACTTGAGGGCAACTTTTCAACTTCAGAGTTGTTTCCATTCCTGCACAGTTTTACCCCCCCCCCCCCCCTGCATCTTATCATGGACCCCCCCCTTTTGGAAAATGGCCCCACCCGCTTTTGGGGCGCCATATGAATATGCTGGGGAGGAGGGGAGATACCTTTGGGTGCGTCTTGTTGTGAGGGTGCCCCTTTTCGGATCATCTTGAAACCAGAAGGCGAACCGAAGCCGTCTTGGGGGTTCGCTTAACAAAAGACACACCCACATCTTTGTCCTTGACTAAGATAATGATCGTAGTAAAGAAATACATCCTTGGGTTTGAAGATCGAAGACACAAGCAACTGGCACCGAGTGAAGGTCGGACAATCCCAAATTGTCGACTCTTTTGAGGGTTTTTGAAGGACACCAGAAGGCGAACCGAAGCCATTTTGGGGGTCCCCATTAAGAAAACAAAGAGAACCCATATTGTTGATAGATCTCCTCCCTAGTGCAGCCCATTTTGGGGTTCTCATTTTAAAAAAGACGCACCCGTCCATAGATCTCCCCCCTGGTTCAACCGGCTAGCCCTTCGGCAGAGCCTCAGGCCGGCGCCATTGACATTTCCTTCAAGGAGCCCCACCTGCCGATCGGCGCGCGGGTGCCCAGCGCCGCAACGCGCCGGCAGCGCCACACGGCCCAGCGAAGGGGGGGAGAACCCCGACATGTTTGCTCATGTGTATGTGTCAAACTAGGGGTTGTGCCAGCAAAAGGGCGGTTGCCTGTCCGTTTCCTTTATCGAGGTGAAAAAGGGTACCCTCTGAAATGAACGCACGGCACCCCTCCATTTCGGGCAATGAACAGCCACATGGGAGTTTCGCAAAATGGGTTGTGGACCCCTTTGGCTGGTATTTAAAGGGATAGCCACAAAGAAGAAATTAGGGGGGCCGATCCCGCTTTTAAGAAACACTCATATCGAGAGTACGGCTCATCTCCGATGGGAACGCAGGTGAAGCAGAGCAGCTGTGATGCTCAGAAGCCTTCAAGCTACCAAGAGTGCGGCCTGGCGGTGCAGGAAGCGGATGGGAGGGGAGAGGAAAAGGGGGGACCTCTGAAAGGAGGGGTCTTAACACAGAACCCTCAGAATGGTTTCCTTTGGCCTCCCTTGAATCCACCCCAAGGGCCGGAAAGGCGTGCTGAGAACCTCCCGCCGCTTCGCAGCGGCGTAGTTTCGCGAGCTGAGAGTTGAGTCACAGCCAGCGCAAGCAGAATGCAGCGCAAGCAGGCCTGAGTTTGTTCAATTTTTTGTCCCTTTCAGGGTCTTGAAACCAAAGTGCGAAAGTAGATGCAGGCACAGCGGGAAAAACAACAACTGGCTCATTGTGAACTTCATCTAACTGGGGAATCTCCCTTTTGCGGGCTAAGCCATATCGAGCTGGCACGAACGCTTGTTTTAACCATGGTAGATTGATTCATTTGAAAAGATGTCTCATTTTTGTCTGGAGGAGTTTCGGCTACTGATGGTGTCCTTCTTGAACGAACCGGAATCAGACGTGTGTAACAAGCAGCGCTTGTTGGCCAGGACGGCGACGAGTGCAAATGCCCGATGCCTCAGACGTTGAAGGGCTCTGATTTTTCGGGGGGGGGGGGGGGGGCAGTCTTGGGGGACGGTTCATGCGGTTTGGGTTTGTCGGCTCATCGTTTTGGGGTGTGGTCTTGGCTCATTTTGCCACAGAAAGTTGCAAGGCCCCTTCCACTTTGAAGACGCACGCGACGGATTTGTCACTGTGGGTCAAGGCCCTTCCCAAGGACCCCCAGGCCGACTGAGCGCCAGCCTGTTCAGCTTGCCTCATATCAGATTCACGGATGAGTTGCTTTTTGTTCGGGGCCAAAAGCTGAAGGTTGGCCTCATGAGAAAGTCGCTTCTTTGAGTGCTGCTTCTGACTTGCTTCCACGCCATTTCGTGGGATACCGCCTCCCATGTCTTTTTTAAACCCAGCTCGGCTCTGGGTTTGAGCGGCCTGAGGTTTCACTTATGTGGTGCCCTTCAACCTGAAGACCACTCTCTATCTGGCGCGGTGCCCAAGGTGTGAGCTGTGACGCCTTTCGGCGCTAGGTTTCAGAAGGGGTCCACTTTTTTGTAGGTTTTTGTAGAACATGGATGGAACTGGTTGACCTGGTTGAATCATATTTTACCAGGGAAATTTTGTATTTTGGACCAAAAGGACACCTCTGCTTCCAGCCTCATGTGATTGGAGACTTCTTGCTAGCATGACATGTGTTTGACAGGGACGGGGTCCCCCTTTGTCAGCCGGGAGGAATGCTGAGCTTGTCCCTTCTAGGCTTGGAACATACAGTGATGGTCACAGAGGCATGAGCTTGGACATCGCCCATATGGGCCCCGGAAATCGCAGCCCTATGTGCTTTCTAGTCCCGTTTTCATGCTGAGGAGTAGTTTCCGTGGCTCATTGCAAGGGCCAGAAGATGTCTCGCCAAAGAGGGCCCAAGACCAGGAGCCTTCAGTGTCGAGCATGACGTGTGATCCATGAGGGGATTTTCTGGGTCGTGGCTTGGTTTTTGCAATTATTGGGCCCAAGGGTGGAGAACGGCAGGTGCTTGTCAACTTGGGATGAATCCGAGGACCGTACCTTTCAGGGGTGGTTCCCTTTGAGTGAGCCGGATTCCCCGGAAGTAGTCCCAGGTTGACAGTATATATGGTACCTAGTCCACATTTCTCCAAGAGTTCCAGGCAAAATTGGGCAAACCTGGCTGAAGGAAGGCGACGCGGCTTTTTGTGCACGGTTTTCTCAACACAATCCACGCCCTACAACAATCAGCTCAACACCCGCGTTGTTGTTTCTTTTCTTTTTTCTCGAACGTTTTGCAAAAGCGGAGAATCCCGAAGAATCAAAACACTCTTTTGAACTACATTGGCAAGTAAATGCTGAAACCCGAGCAGCCGTTCTTTGCAACCTTCCTTTGCCAAGGCCACCACAGCTTTGTACCGTAGCACTGCAAAGAGGTTATCTGCCTCCAAATAAGCCTGAGTATGGTCTCGTCGTTCTCTGTTTTCGAGCATGTTTCAAGTATGTGTCCCAGCATCCAAGGGGGTGCAGCTTTTGCGTCTGCGAGCAACAGGAACCTTACAACCCCCCAAACCCCCACCCCGAACCCCCTCTAACTCTTCAATGTTTGGGGTCGCTATCTTGCGTCGATTGCTAAGACCACCAGGGGCCAGGGAACCAAAAGGATGTTGTTAAAACAGCCCAATGGATCCCAGTTGCCCCTATGGTTCCCTTAGTATAACCAGTGAAATGGAGTCACTGGGCAAGGTTTTCGTCCCCACTCCACCCCCCCTCACCCCCGTCCCCCACACCCCCCGTTCCCCAGCCGCTGAAGCGCTGCACGGGCTTCGCCGGCTCCGGCTCTGAGGACAAATTGATGGCATGGATGAAGCTCCCAGCAGGGCTGCTTAGATCGAGGGACCTGAGATCTTTGGCTGGATTGGGGGCCATGTTGACCCCAGATTTTCATCCACTTACCAGTTCATTAATAGGGGTCCCGGTGCCTTTTCCTGGGTGAAATGTGGGGAATCAGACCACTTTTGGAGGGGAAGACACCCCACTCCCATATAAATAGGCTGGGGTGGATAGATATGGGGTCAAAACTACGACGGTTGGTCTTTGGTTGGACCTTTGTCCTGAAAATCACTGACCTGTTTAGATGTCTTCCTCATCGCAGCCCCAAGCAGTTGGAACGTATTCCGGCCAGTCATTTGCATGAACGGTACCGCCTGGGTTTTTATTGGGTGGATTCAAGTTACGGCTCAAATGTCGGCCGAGATAAGCATTTTGTGCGTGCTCATGTTCGTTCACAGGGATGTACTTTGTTGTCAGCACTGCGTGCATTGAGCGCCATGGCAACTGGAAATTCAGGGCGTTCGGGGCCTGTGCTTTTGTTTGCTTGCATGCTTGCTTGCTTGCTTGCTTGCTTGCTTGTTTTTTGTTTGTTTGAACTGCCTGCCTGCCTGAATGCCTGCCTGCCCGCTTGCCCGCTTGCTTGCTTGCTTGCTGATGTGTTTGTGCGTTTGTTTCTCCTCTCTCTCCGTCCTCTTTTTCTCATTCTCTTTCTCTTTCTCTTTCTCATTCTCATTCTCTTTCTCTTTCTCTTTGTCTTTCTCTTTCTCTTTCTCTTTCTCTTTCTCTTTCTCTTTCTCTGTCTCCTTCTGTTTTGCTTTCTTTTCCCTTTCTTGATTTCTTTCTTTCTCCTTTCTTTCTCTCTCTCCCTCTCTGTGTTGCCTTTTGGGCGCTTCTTGGCCGCGTGGGCTTGTCCACAGCCTGCTTGTTGGACTCGAGCAGAGCAAACTGATGAAGGTGATACCTGTTCGGCTGTCAATTGGTAAGTTGTCGATTTGCAGCCTTAAGTTGTCCCTAGCTGTGGGGACCAACTATTTACAAGTAAATACAACCAAGTTACCCCGGCCATGTTTGTAGAATCTTTGGGTACCAGGCATGCGTCATACACGTTGGTAACACTGCTCAGGTCAGGGTAAGCAGTTACAACGCCGCCTTTCTTCTTCAGCCTCGATGTGGAATCCTGACTTCCCACCAAACGAGCGTGCGTTTGCTCATGCACGCCAGGCGCGGGCGTTCATGTATGGACAGATGTGCCCTGGACGCACTAATCAACCGCTGTCTAATGGGTGTTTCGGCTTCCAAGAATGGGTGGGCCCCCTCAAAGCAGGCGATTCTCAGTTGTTCAAAGCTTATCGACCTTTTGACCTTTTGGTTTTCCAATTTTGCCCACCACCACAACTTTCAGTTCCAGGTCCAAACTGGGCATCTGAGTATTGCCATTTGGGGTTCCCTGACGCCGTCTTTAAAAGGGACACGTGCGACGCATGGCCAACGAGGTTGGTTTCAAAAGCAGGGCAAAAAGGCGAGTTCCCTGCTGGAAGGGGTCCCCTATTGTAGGGAACCCAGTTGACTACTGGGGGATTGTCTAGTTTCAGAGAAACCCACGTGCAATGATCAGGGAAGGTTATGAGCATCAGTGGTCCTCGATGCTTGCTGGCCTCTAGTGGCCTCTAGTCGCCGGTTTCCACTTTTAGTCTGCTCTTGTTCCCCTTGCCAAGCCCCAAATCAGCATTGATAGTTGCAAGCTCGCTCCTCGATTGGGCTTGGTCAAGCGACTTGAGCCACTTGCCATTGATGTCTGGCATGCGTTTGGTCAGCTGATCCGTGCTTTTGGCATTACTGATTCGGCCAGTTCCGAGTGAGTTCCTTTTGGTGGGTTGACAATCACGGGATAAATATGGGGTACCCTGTTTGCCGCCATTAAGTTTGTGCATTTGTTTGCTGTTGGCTCCCGCGCTGCTCTCAGGAAGTACTGGTCTGTCCCCATCAATGAGAACAATGTTGACTTCTTCTGCGACCGCGAGCAGGAGGAACGACCCCGGCAGAGAAACAGGGGCCAACAGGGGCCTTTGAAATGAGATTGGGACGTCCCATACCAAGTGCTTTGCTTGTGGGCCTGCCGTTTTATCCCATAAGGCGGGATTAAAGGCTACGGGTTTCTTGAATCCCTTAGTGGGGACTGACCTTATCTTCGCCTATGCCTTGGCAAATTGCTAGGGCTGGAGCGGCAAATGTTCCTTTGGTTGCCGGCGAGGGTTGACCTCGTACTCACTTGCCCAAAGCGAATGGACATGTTGATCCTTTTCTAGTCGTGGCCCCAAGTCTTTTTCTGGGTCCTTTGGTCACTGAGCTTAGTGAAAGCTTGACCTCTTGGCGGATTGACAAAGAGGACGCGCGACGAGGTCTCTCCCGGACCAACAAAAAAAACACGCGCGGACGAATTCTTGCGCCAACTCGCTGTCCAACGTTTCGCGCGAACCGTGTGGATCAAACCTCCCTCACACCCTCAGACCATGAATTTGCCTGGTTATTTCTTTTTTTGAACATCGGCTTGTTTGCCTATTCCCTGTGGGGTGAAACCATGGTGTTGGTAGGGATTCTCATCCAGCCATTGGCCTTGGGATTTAGGCCAATCTGAGGGATCCGCTCGGAACATGAGCCCTAAAGCGACAGGAGCCGAAGCCCTGAATTGATTCTTTGGGTGTTATCTGTCATTTGTCATTCCAAGAGAAGGGCAACAACTCGATCCTGTTTTGCCTTGGGGATGAGCGACGTGTTTGTCATATCATTCCAAGGGCAACAGGTGGATCGTGTTTTGCCAGCAGGTTGTCCCTGATTTGGGGATGTGCCAGAAAGAAATAGGAGCTGTTTTGGCATGCCTGAAAAGCGAACAGGAGGCCATTCATTGGCATGGGGCCGACTTGATTTGTCACGCAGCCGTTGTTGTTGGGGACACGCAAACACTCAAAATCAACAATCCAGGCCAACGCAAGAGCGAAAACGCGTTGCAGGACTGCCAATTCCAAGTGAGCTTCTCCGAGAATGCCAAGGTGGGAGGTGAAACGGTCGGGCCGGAAGTGCGAACAAAAACGGGTGATCCTTTTTGGAGGCTGACTTTCAACTGTCAGGCCACCCCATACGGTTGGTTTCAGTGAGGCAGTGAAAAATAAGTCGAGGGCAGGCACTGCGGAGGTTGTTGTCAAAAAGTTTGATGTTGGCATCAGCCCAAACGGCCTCGGCTGAGCTCGTTGCGCGTCTGACTTACCCTTGACCGAGGCTTGGCGTTGGACAATTTTCACACTGAGAGCATGAAGGCTACATGTCCAGAAGTCGGTTTCGAAGCGAAGGACACAGGGAGTTGCTGCAAGGTGGCCGTGTTTTTTCTTCTTGTTGGGAGCGACCCCGCTTCAATTTCCCCAGTGTGGGTTATGTTCACCGAATGGACACATGAGTTTATGGGAGTTTATTATCTCCCATTCCAACTTTGATAGAATGGCTTTGCGGACGACATTTTGTTTCCAATCGAACATTACAGAGGTCTTTGTTTTTTATTATTTCTGTTTCTTGTTTGTGGTTGTCTTCTTTATCATATGTTAAATCCACATGTTCTATCTTTTCATAATCCTAACAGGAGCTTTGATGGTTGCCCTTGTTTTTTGGCTGGCCAGGTACTGCAGTGGTCTTGGTTCGGTGAGCAGGCGGGGCTCTGGACATATGGGGCTCGGGGTGTGGAGCTCTGAAGAGTCTTAGTCCAGCTCCCGCCGAACAGGCGATGCCGGCCAAAAAGAGGAAAGCTGAGTGTTTGCGATATCTAACTGAGTCCTTCTCGAGGGACCCTTGCAAGTTGCCGGTGTCCTTTTTGGTTTTCTGGTTTCAACAGTAACGGGCATCCCTAAGTTTACGACAAACGAGACAGGCCATTGTGGTTCTTGTTTTGGGCATCTGGAATCTGAGGGGTGGGAGATGCCATCCTTTTGGCGTGCCCGAAATAGGTGGCTTTCTTGTTGTTTTCCCTTCAAGCAGTATCCTAAAGAAGCTGTTCCCTTGTAAAATGATCCCCCTTAATTTAAGCAGCATTTTGATGGAGGTTCCGCCAAAGAGACGCACCCATTTGGGATACTTATTATTTCTATCCTCCTTGCTGGGTGTTTGTTTTTGTGTGTGTTTTGTTCAAGGGCCCCTGTTTTTTTTCCTGGTTTTACAGAAGGAAACAATGTGGGGCTCCCTCAAAAGAGGCACGACTTGAGGCGCCTCGATGTTTCTACGTTGATATTCTTCCGCTGTGCCACGGGTCAGGAGAAGCCGATCTTCACGCCGGAGGGCATGGCAATCGGCTCGGCCGGGGGCTTGTCTTGAAGCGGACCGCGCCGATGCAGGGCTTCTGCGAATTCTTTTGGACTGATTTGAGATTTGCAGGTACTGAAATGTTGCGAACATGTTGTGGGTGTGTTGAAACACTGTAGACTGGCCAAGCAGGAGGTTTCGGCAGTCCCTCATATCATTTTCGGGGAGCAAAAGCTGGGGTAGTTTTGATCCTTGAGGAATCTGGCCATCAGAAGAGAGGTGTCCTCAGTCCCTGGGAAAAGAATGAATTGGAGGGGTGGGGAGCTTGTAACCTGGGAGTTGTGCATTCCAGCGCTTCGCAAGTCTTATTGCAAGTGTTTGCTTTTTTCCTGTTTTTGTTAAAACAAAATGGGGGCACCCCTTTTCGAGGTTGGTGTAGAGGGAAACCAACAGGAAACCACCTGCAAGGGTTCGCCTTTGAGTCAAACCCATTTTGGCTGTGAATCCTAATAAGGAACCACCTAAAAAGTGATGGACACGAATCTTCGCCTAAATTTGATGTCCACCAAGGGCCCATTATTAGAATTCATGTCTAGTTCAAAGCAACTGCAGAAACAAAAGAAGCACGTGTGTCCGTCTCTTTTTGAGGCTACTCCCTTTTGGTTGATAGCCAGAAGCAAAGCAAACAAAAGCAGCGTTTGGGGTCGAAACAAAGACAGCCCCTGTGTGTCTGTGTGTGTGTGTGTGCGGGTGTGGGTGTGTGGGTGTGTGTGTGTGTGTTTTTTTCTTTTCGGGGGTCCCCCTTTGGTTGGCTTAAAAGGTTGTGTGTTTTAACCAACGTCTAACCCCGAGGCTTCGGTTTAGTTTGCGCCGGGTTTCCGTGTGAGGTCCTGGCATTCCTGGTGTTCGCCCCGATCGTGGTCTCTCAGGCCGATGGTTTTTTTGTGCGCAGCGGCCGTTCAAAGCGAGAAACGCCCATCGCTGGTGCGATAGATAGGGCAAACCCTAAAGATCAGAAACCCTAAGCCTTAAAAATCCAAAACCCTAAGCCCGAAACCCTAAACAACCATGTGGTTTCCTTTAAGGGGACACCTGGGTTCATTGCCACATTCCCTACTGAGCACCAGCAAGCTTGATTCAAACACGGCGAGAACATCTGGGTGTGTCTCAATATAGGAATCGGAACCCCCCAAAACGGCAAGGGCCTTCTTTGGGCTTCCCTTTTAAGCCAACCAAAGGGGGACCCCCGGAATATAATAGTAAAAAACAACAAGAAAAATGCATACACACACCCATCTAAGAGATGAGCTCGGTGAGAACACTCCGAACAATTCCGAACACTCATTCCCACGCTGGGAGTGTATTCGGTGGTTGTTTTGAGGACCTTGGACAGTCACTGGAAGTTATGGCAATGTTCACTAAGGATTTCAACGCAGGTGTTCCTATGACATTATGAATTAGATAACTTTTCAATGCAAAACCAAGCAGGGGTTTCCTAACCCGGCTTGGGGTGGGCACGGTGAAATGACATTCTCATTCCCGTGCGCTTGAGCTCGCACGAATCTCTTTCTGGCAAGAGACCTGATGGCACAATTCATTCCAAGCCCTTGGAGGTCTCTTTGGAAAAAAGTGAGCTCACGCTGGCCGGCGTTTGCCAGTGATTGGGTGGTTCCCAAACAAGCAAAAACAAAGAAACAAAACAAAACAAACAAACAAACAAACAAACAAGCAAACAAACAAACAAACAAATAACCAAACGAGCAAGCAACCAAACAAACACCCAACCAAACAAATAAGCAAACAACCTAGCAAACAAAGCCAACCAAACAACCAACCAAACAAACAAAAGCAAGCAAGCAAGCAAGCAAGCAAGCAAGCAAGCAAGCCAGCAAGCCAGCAAGACAGCAAGCCAGCAAGTCAGCAAGCCAGCAAGCCAGCAAGCCAGCAAGCAAACGCACGAACGAACGAACCAACGAACAAACAAACAAACAGACAAACAAACAGACGAACAAACAAACAAACAAACAAACAAACAAACAAACAAACAAACAAACAAACAAACAAACACACAAACACTGGCATGGGAATTTGGTGAGTGAGCTCATGAGCCTGTTTCCAATGATTTGGTGTGTGTGAGTGTGTCTGTTTGTGCCCCTATATTGATGACGGTGACATGCTGACCATTGCCTCGTGTTCAATCGAGTCAAACTCCGCCGCCAGCTTCTGGGAGCAGCCAAGAGAAGCAGCTGTCAAGCTGTCCAACATGTAGAACCCCGTCCAAAAGCATTTGAAGGGCAGGCATTGTCACGCATTTGCCAAGGCAATGGGGAATCCAAATTGGCTTGGGACCCTGGTGACAGGCCTGCAATGTGATTTGTTTGTTTGTTTGTTTGTTTGTTTGTTTGTTTAGATGTCAACTGCGGCTCACATGGTTGAGGCGGCCCCGGCACATTCTTGAGTTAGTCCCAGACGTACCTTTTTCTTCTTCCATTTTTCTCCGGGGGGGGTTTAGACTTTAAGATCAGCTACCAAAAGCAGGAGTGCCCCTTTTTTCCCCCGTGGGGTACGACGTTCGGGCGCCGGGGATTGCCCGGGCCTCGGCGTGCCTGCCATAAAGTGCTCGGCGCCAGTGGAGGTTGAGTGGCCTTTCCTTTCCCTGAATGGAGTTTGTCACGGATTTCCTATGGCCCGGTATGGCGATGGGTGCAGCCGAAAGATTTTGGCAAGAGCCATAAGAGGGTCCACCAAGTTGGAGAAAGATGTTGGGTTCTCAAGTTGGGTTCCTTCCTTTTGGCTTCCCGTTAAAACCACGCGAACAGGGGGCCATTTTGAGAATCCCGCCTGGCGCTTTTTGGGGTTCTTTGCGCCGCAGTTCTCCATGAAGAACGTGCTGGGAGGGCACCGATCGCAGAAGGCGGGAGAGCTTTTCCCAGCGCCCCGGGCAGGTTTTGCGGGTGGGGAAATCGGGGTTGTTTCCCTCGTGGCCTCCTTGGGTCGCTGGGCTTTTGGTCGGACTCCGCTCCGCAGCTGTTCGCGAGCACGCGCTCTTTTTTTTTTTTCCCCGGTGCGCGGCTATCCTCAAGCATAGGTTCGAAGCTGGCTCCAGCGTGCCGTGAGTGAAGGCCCCCTTTCCGGCCATGTGAGCATTTGGATCTTTACGGTTGGCCGATGTAGGGTGGGTCTGCCTCGTTTAATAGAGGTAATGGTACGGCCTGTAAACCTTACCATCTTAGTAGAACCAAAAGTTAACGGGTTTTGAGTGCTGCGCTCCGTGCAGGTCTTTGCAACGGCTTGTAAATCAGCGACTAGCCATGTTCCTTTTGACGAATGGGGCGTTTCGGCTCGGGACTCTCCACCGCCAGTGGTTTGAACCGGGGCGGAATGTCTGGAGAATCAATCCCAGGCTTTGATTTTGGACGGTTTCAAGACTGAACTTCTATGTCTTCTTGCACACACATAGTTTAAATATGTTTAAATGGTAGGGTGTGTACGGGAACCCCCCAAATTGGTGGTGCAAACACATATCTTGTATGTCATTTGGGTGTGTACAAATTATTGGTTGTCCCTTTGGTTTTCTAGGGGTCCCTATATTTCCTTTTTTGGTGGTTTTAAACATCACCAGTTTGGTCCATGGAAGGTGAGTATCCCTTGGTGGGGGTGATGTTTTAAGAGGAAATATAGGGAGCCCTGTTTTCCTTGAAGACAAAAACAAAAATCACGGCTACCACTCAAAACAGACCCAGCCACCCAGCCACTTTCTGTTTGGAGAGTGCCAAAGGCTTTCGTCCCTTTTGGCGCTGGGCATTGAGTTGGTGGCTTGGATCTGGTTTGGGTTTGATTTTGACGTGTTGCTTATGTCTTTGTTTTAAACGTTTATTCGTTTGTTTATTCTGTTTGTTTGTTGGATTGGCTGGATTGGATTGATTTGATTGGATTTGTTTTGATCTGATGTCATTGATTGGCTGGTTAATGGTATGGTTGATTGTTTGTTGTCTGTTTGTTTCCTCGGTTCTTTTTTGCATTCGTTTTGCTTCACATGCCGGCTTTTGGGCAAGGCACATGTGGCTTTTGCAGTTTTTCCATCGACAGATTGGAGTTGAGAGGCTTGGTGCAGGTTTTCGGTTGAGGGGAGCTCGTGTCGCATTCGCATGTTTGATCGGCGAGTGATGGTGCCAGGTTCAGCTTTTTAACCAAACCAGTTCCGGAAGAACTTCCACTTGAATTTCTTGTAGGGAGAGGTTAGGGTCGACAATCCCCGGTTCCTGGGGGGCCGGGGGTTAGCATGCTACGCCATGGACCCTGCAGAGGAGAAGGCCATGTAGAACCACAGCCTTTTGTCCACCGAGCTCTGTCACAGTGCTGGTTGCGCCTCAGCGGCACTTGAACGAGGACCATGTACCTAGGTTCCCCAGTAGTGCCCTTTTACCCCTTTTTTTGGGGAGGGTTTCCTTGCTAAATCAGACGACAGAAAAGAAGTTGGTACCCTCATTCTAACCTCTCAACTGGCCCAGATGTACACCTTTGGCTTTTTGTCCGCACGCTTGTTTTTATGCGGTTTTCCGTCCAACCCCACCAAGCGATTCCGCCAGCTCGAGGAGTGCCGACATCTGGGAGAATTCTCAGCTTGGCTGCGTTGTGAATGCACCAAAGCTGCCAATGGCAGCATTGCTAATTGCTTTTGCTTGAAACAACTATTGGTTGTTGCGCGGGAAGGCGCAGACGATTGGGTTGCACAGCCCCTGCGGAAGATAAAACAGCCGGGCGCGATGCAGGCAGTCGCATGCAGCAAGCTGTCGCGATAAATGAGATGTCCACAGCGCCTGGCTTCATATCAAATTCGGATGTAGGAAGCCGCCCAAGGCGCAACAGCACGACATGTGCCAGTGTAACAATGCACCCTTCCTCCATGGTCTCGAACCACAAAACTGCAAGCAACATGAACCGTGCTCAGTCAGCCCGGACGCTATTACCCCTCCCCCCCCATGCCAAGGGAGCGAGGTACCTGCAGCGGGCGCCGGACATGGCGATTGGGCCAACATGTTGCGACAACGGGGAGGGGTTTGCCACACTTGCAAGGTTGCGCCGTGTGTGCACGTCATATGCGTTTCACCAGCTTTTTCTGTGGAACACTTGCTTTGCTCTTCAGTGACTTCACCCAGTTTGTTTTGATTGGCTGATTCAGATCCAAAACGGTTGGGCTTTGAGGCCCGAACAGCAAATCAGCCCAGTTCGCACATGTGTTGGCTTTCCAAGCCCTGCTGACGCGCTCCTTTCAGCGTCTTGTTGGTGTGCTGGGCCTGGATGGGCCGTTTTGGCTCTGCTGAAGCTTCCAGCCTCAAGGGCTGAGACCATCACGCAGAACATGTTGCCCGTTTCTGGATCAGGTTTCTGATACCTCTCCATGCTGATCTCGACATGTGTAGACTCAGCTCGTGTTCCATCAAGAGGCAGCCGCAATCCGAGAAGCACGAGGAGAGTCAACATCGAAAATTTATTGGGACGTTTCTGCAGTGCGAGGGGGAACACAATCGAATCACTTGGAGGTTTCTGCGGGCACAAGGATTCTCCAATTTTCGAGCTTCCTTGGACGTTGCGAAAGCGGCACGGCGCGCGGCGCGCGTGCCTTTCTTCGTGCCATGGCCTTCCTCCTCTCCTCGCTGCGGCTGGGCCTGTGGAAGCAGTCCATCGCCCGGTGCCTTAGCGGTTTCTCAAAACAGGGGGATCCGGAGAGCGCAACTCGCTGACGGATACTGGTTGTAGTGGGGAGTGGAGATGAGTTGGAAGTGGGAAGGGGAGACGAGTGAAGAGGAGTGGAGAGGAGTGGGGAGGAGTGGGGAGGAGTGGAGATGAGTTGGAAGTGGGGAGAAGGGGAGACGAGCGAAGAGGAGCGGAGAGGAGTGGGGAGGAGTGGGGAGGAGTGGGGAGGAGTGGGGAGGAGTGGGGAGGAGTGGGGAGGGGGGGAGACGAGTGAAGAGGAGTGGAGAGGAGTGGGGAGGAGTGGGGAGGAGTGGAGATGAGTTGGAAGTGGGGAGGAGGGGAGAGGAGTGAAGAGGAGTGGAGAGGAGTGGGGAGGAGTGGGGAGGAGTGGAGATGAAGGAGGGGAGACGAGTTGGGGATGAGTTGGAAGTGGGGAGGAGGGTAGACGAGTGAAGAGGAGTGGAGAGGAGTGGGGAGGAGTGGGGAGGAGTGGGGAGGAGTGGAGATGAGTTGGAAGTGGGGAGGAGGGGAGACGAGTGAAGAGGAGTGGGGAGGAGTGGAAAGGAGTGGAAATGAGTTGGAGGTGGGGAGGAGGGGAGACGAGTGAAGAGGAGTGGAGAGGAGTGGGGAGGAGTGGAGATGAGTTGCAAGTGGGGAGGAGGGGAGACGAGTGAAGAGGAGTGGAGAGGAGTGGGGAGGAGTGGGGAGGAGTGGGGAGGGGTGGGGAGGGGTGGAGGTGGGTTGGAAGTGGGAAGGAGGGAAGACGAGTGAAGAGGAGTGGAGAGGAGTGGGGGTGGGTTGGAAGTGGGGAGGAGGGGAGACGAGTGAAGAGGAGTGGAGAGGAGTGGGGAGGAGTGGGGAGGAGTGGGGAGGAGTGAGTTGGAAGTGGGGAGGAGGGGAGACGAGTGCAGAGGAGTGGGGAGGAGTGGGGAGGAGTGGAGATGAGTTGGAAGTGGGGAGGAGTGGGGATGAGTTGGAAGTGGGGAGAAGGGGAGACGAGTGAAGAGGAGTGGAGAGGAGTGGGGAGGAGTGGGGAGGAGTGGAGATGAGTTGGAGGTGGGGAGGAGGGGAGACGAGTGAAGAGGAGTGGAGAGGAGTGGGGAGGAGTGGGGAGGAGTGGAGATGAGTTGCAAGTGGGGAGGAGGGGAGACGAGTGAAGAGGAGTGGAGAGGAGTGGGGAGGAGTGGGGAGGAGTGGAGATGAAGGGGAGGAGGGGAGACGAGTGAAGAGGAGAGGAGTGGGGAGGGTGGGGAGGAGTGCGAGTGAAGAGGAGTGGAGAGGAGTGGGGAGAGAGTGGGGAGGAGTGGAGGAGTGGAGACGAGTGAAGAGGAGTGGAGAGGAGTGGGGATGAGTTGGAAGTGGGGAGGAGGGGAGACGAGTGAAGAGGAGTGGAGAGGAGTGGGGAGGAGTGGGGAGGAGTGGAGATGAGTTGGAAGTGGGGAGGAGGGGAGACGAGTGAAGAGGAGTGGAGAGGAGTGGGGAGGAGTGGGAAGGAGTGGAGATGAGTTGGAAGTGGGGAGGAGGGGAGACGAGTGAAGAGGAGTGGAGAGGAGTGGGGAGGAGCGTGGAGGAGTGGGGATGAGTTGGAAGTGGGGAGGATGTGAGACTAGTGAAGAGGAGTGGAGAGGAGTGGGGAGGAGTGGGGTGGAGTGGAGATGAGTTGGAAGTGGGGAGGAGGGGAGACGAGGGAAGAGGAGTGGAGACGAGTGGGGAGGAGTGGAGAGGAGGGGGAGGAGTGGAGGGGGAGGAGTGGAGATGAGTTGGAAGTGGGGAGGAGGGGAGACGAGAGTGGGGAGGAGTGGGGAGGAGTGGAGATGAGTGGGAAGTGGGGAGGAGGGGAGACGGGTGAAGAGGAGTGGAGAGGAGTGTGGAGGTTTTAGGTGAAGTATGGGCACGTGGGTGAACCTCCCTGTTCCAGACATACCCCCTACCAGGGGGAGGCCTGAAAATGAACCTCACCCTTGCATTGCCGCAGTGAGGTTCAGTTGAAGCTTTTCAGCAAACGTTTTGCGGGGGAGGTTCACTCAAGAAACTGGAGGGAGAGTGAGGTTCATTCAAAAAAAACATGAACCTCACCCTTGCATTGCCACAGCGAGGTTCAGGTGAATCAAACAAAGCCCACCTAGTCTCAGGTGAAGTTAAGGCACGTGAGTGAACCTCGCTGTTCCAGATATATTCTACCAGGGATGAGGCCTGAAAATGAACCTCACTCTCCTCACTCTATATTGGAACGTGCTAATGAACCTCACTCCTAGAGCAAGAGTCAGTTGACACAATCTTCCAAAAGGATCAAAGCACTGGACCAATGAAGCAGCTTTACACCAAGGTGTAGGGGGGCCATGGCAAATCTGACTAAAAAGAAACGGAGACCCTTGGTGCGAGAGCACTCTTGTTTCTGTCAGCTTGTCTTGCTCCTTTTGCAAACGAGAAGTTGCTTTCATTGTGTGGCGAACCGCTGCAGCCTTCCAAGCATCAGCTTTGCAGACACCTCTGCCGCCTTTGGATTCCTGTCCTGCCCTGACCTAAGTGAAACGGGACACAGATGTGGAGTGACACTTTTTCAAGAGCGAGGTTCAGTCAATCGACTTCATGACCTGCTTGCCTAGGACCATCATGTCTCTTTCTTTGGCCTGCGAAGCTCAGAAGCTCTTGAAGAAGCTTCAGAAGAGTGGATGGCCGGTGGGGGAGTTTGAGCAGCAGTTGGCGCTCGATCCCACGGAGGCCTTTGTGGAATACCTCCGTGAGGCTCTTGCCGACGACGGGGAAGAGCTGGATACTTCGAGCGTGTTGCTCGGCATGATGTTGATAGGTAAGCGGCTTGTGGATAGGTAAGTGGTTCAACGGGTTTGGAGTCTGGGTCATTTGGATCCCTGAACAAAGTGGGATCACTCCTGTTTCAGACGTGGACGGACATGGAAGAGGGCATCCCCTCGAAGGTGCTCGACGAGTCCCTGGCCGAAGGAGTACGAGCGGCTGAAGTTGCTCAGGCGTACGAGGACCTGGACAAGGCGCTCCGCACGCGTTCCAAAGTCCGACTCGATGTGAGTGGAGATGGTGATTGCCAGTGGGGAAGTCTGGTGAGGGCCATGAGGACGCAAGGGTATCCTTCGCCATCGAGACTCAGTCTCAAACGGCTGTGTCACGACTGGATTGCCGAGCACATGGAGTTGTACGGCGAATGGATCCGTGCGGAGCACGCTGACGTTGAGGGCACCAATGAGGAAGGCGTGAACGCCTTCCTCGAGGGGCTGACCAAGCCCGTGTCTGAAGGCTCGAGTGAACCTAGCCTGTTAGGGGGCTTTGAACTCCAATGAACCTCACTCTTTCATGTTATTTGGGGGGGTTGAGCTCAAATGAACCTCACTCTTGGATGTCATTTGATCCCTGAAGGCGGAGCGTTGGGCGGCGATTTGACCCTTCAGGCCTTCTGCGACCAGTCGGGCTTCGGTGTCCGGGTGTGGGACTGCCACCTAGGAAAGCTTCGAACCTCGAAGAAGTTGCCTAACTATGAGATCTGTCACTATGCAAAGGAAGAGCTAGTGTTCCTCGATGTCTGTACAATTCGAGGGGTTCACTACGACGCTGTGGGCGACATCACTGACGATGCGTCTTCGGCTGCGGCTCCCAAAGCGAAACGTGCCAGCCCCGGTGAGAGAAAGGAGCACGGCTTCAAAGGCTGGGGCAAGAAAAAGGGGTGCACGCCCAAGAACAAGGTTGTCATTGACGAGGCCCTGATCGGGGGGGGAAGCGCGCCTGTGTGTGCGGACCCACTACGGCGGCGATGCATTGGCAGAACATGATGGGATTGATGGTCTTGAAGCATCTGACCCAGGAGGGGAGTTAGGATAAAGTGAACTGAAAGTGAACCTCACTGTTTAATCGTTTGCCTTTCTTCCGGAAGTGGGAAAGTGAACTCAAAGTGAACCTCACTGTTTCATCTTTTGCTTTTCATCCTAAATGAACTCCTGTCACAAATCGGGATGCTCTGGTCGGCCAAGATCAAGGAGTACATCTCCCACTTGGAAGTCAATGACAACACCTTGGGCCAGAAAA